TAATAATAATGTGCATTTTAAAAACAAATTCCATGGCTCCACTCTGCTCCCATGACGAATTACGAATCGCCCTCATCGGCTTCCGTCGTTCTGCCCTCTGGCTGCGGAAGTGTCGTCCTGAAGCCCAGCAGTTTGTATAAACACAACGGCACTTCATTTGGAGCTCTTCTCGTCCGTGTCTCTGTCGTGGGGACCTGTCAGCGCTGGTTTCCACCGTGTACCACAGCAGTATTATGCGAGCATCGTCCGGAGTGTGGCCGCAGCGTGTGAAGTGGTGAGAGCTACAGCTAACTTTAGCATCTCTGATGGTCATGATGGAGCAGAGACACCGGCCTGTCACAAAACTGTTTTTTCTCMTCTAAACGTGGAAGAAATGGAAGAAATAATGGACACGAAGCYGTAGCGACTTCAAGTCAAACCTTGCCGTGGTGTTTAGGTCGCGTTTGCGTGCTTGTGTGAGCCACACAAATGACCACCTGTTCACTGTTTACATCTTTGTGGTTTTATTCGGCAGAAGGCTCAGTTTACAGTTCACTGTGACTGAGACTGCAACATAAATTAATCATTTAAAACTTAGGGATTGTTAACACTTGGCCAGTGATGTGTTTTTGTCAAGGTTTAGGTGTCTGCATTTTGAGACCATACAGGGRAAATTAGGCTATACTCGTAAATTTAGATTATTTTCATTTTATATACAAACATTTGCTTGATATTCATTTAAGTTTTACTCTATGTAACGTGTCTTTTGTGGTGTTACTTGTCTTCTTAAGAATTTACAATATTTACCAGATTTCTACAGGCTTTCTGAAGGTCTTTTTTAAAAGTTTTTCAATGGACTTTGGATGCTTTTTTGCACTTATTTCAGTCCAGAACCTGGCCCTTTCACAGTTCTAATCTATAAATATTTTCAGCATAAAACAACTCCTAAACTCWAGGAATGAATCAGTATTGTGTCACACATAATAGACAATTTTCAGGTTTTAAATTAAATCTTTATTCTGCCAAGATAATTTGTTCTGGACAGAAAACTGTCAGTGTTAAAGTCTCAAGAAAAAAATACTTTAAAAGACTTAAAACACATAGACGACTTTTAATCAATACAATTAAAAATACTATCAACAGGTCTGGTTCCTTTCAAAGCAAATAGGAGTAGTTTAAAACTTTTGCACGTAAATCAGCAGAATCTTTCAGATTTTAAGAGATATTTGTTGTGCCATTTAAACTTCTTCATTTAACGACACCTAATGGACATTTCTGCATCGTTTGGTCTTGTTTTAAATGAACGTGTTCCTGTTGTTCTAGAGTTTCCTCGAGTCATCTATATGGGCCATCTTCTTTCAAAAAATGCTTTACACCTGAAGAAGAAGACACGCAAGCCGCATCACAAGAAAAAGAAGAAGAGGAACTGTTTCCTGCAGGGGCCGTGCATGCTCTGCTTCATCATCCACAGCAACAGCGGCGCTCTCGACGACGACGGTGATCAGCTGGAGGCCGGCGCTAACGGGTGCCGTCACAACAGCATCGGAGGAATCGGAGGAATCGGCGTCCCCGGCGTTGGCGGAGTCGGCATCGGCGCGGCGGCTGCCTCGAAACTCGCTGAGCGTTACGYGGCGCTTGCGTCTCCCGAGGACTGCTCCAAGTTCCTGCTGTCGCAGAGAGAACTTGCCATCTGGGAGGGCCAGGGGAGGAGTCTTCTGTCAGCCGTTCCTGCTAAACTGATCCCCCCACCGGTGCTTTTTAGAACGGCTGTCGTGTCTGTGACTGTGCCCATTCCTGTGCCTGTGCCCGGCTGCACCAGCGACTACACCGAGATGGTAAGCTCATAAACACTGTATGTGGTGAAACTTCTGTTTTGCATCTCTAGTGATGATCTAAATTACTTTAAATCCAATGAGCCCGGTTTATTCTAATGCAGTGGTTCTTAACCTGGGTTCGATCGAACCCTAGGGGTTCGATGAGCCGGTCTCAGGGGTTCGATCGAACCCTAGGGGTTCAATGAGCCGGTCTCAGGGGTTCCATCGAACCCTAGGGGTTCAATGAGCCGGTCTCAGGGGTTCCATCGAACCCTGGGGGTCCGATG